GCTACTGACTGAGCTATTCCACTGTCCTAGCAGACGACAATCCAACTCGCTACTGACTGAGCTATTCCACTGTCCTAGCAGACGACAATCCAACTCGCTACTGACTGAGCTATTCCACTGTCCTAGCAGACATTAGTTTCTATTGAAGATTTACACAGAGAACAATTTGAAGGATTCTTTTTACCAGCTGATCAAAACTCTAAGCATTGATCTTTTCCAGTTTACTCCTGCCCATTTATAGCTGCGTATCTTAATAATAAGGAAATATGATTTATTCAAGGCCACCAGACTATGACCAAGATCAGAACCCACAACCACCATTATAAAGCGTTATTTGTTAAAACTGTCATCAATTCCAAGTGAATTATAGTATACATTAGGTAGAATTTCTAATGGGACGTTTCCATCAGTTTAATTTCCTGGTTAAAATATCACATGTCTTGTGTATTATCATAAATTTCTCTCTAGGATGGTTTTTATATCAATGATTCTTGTGTCCAGTTTAATATCGCTGAGGACCATCTTGTGTTTTAGTCATTCTTTAATCTATTAGCTTTAAGCTCTTCAGCTTTATTGAATTTGAGCTCAACTAAAAGACCAATCAGTGTATTAGGCCCACTCTTACACCAGGTTCTCAGTCTGTACCAGGCCACAATAAAATGTACCCATTTACATGACCGTAAATTCAAGTGGTCTGAGAACGGTTCTTCAATTGTAATGTAAATGAAAAGCGTTCTAGGCACGGTTATCTGTGGAACTCTTCTTAAAGAAGTTAAAATTAACCCTTCTGAAACGCATAAATTTTGTAACGTAAAAGGGGTTTTAGTCATTCTTTAACTTATTAGCTTTAAGCTTTTGAGCTCCAGTTTAAAATCTGTATTGAATTTAAGATCGCATACAATAAACACTGTAGTAGGTGATGTTAGTGAAGCCGGGTATTCTTACTCTACCAAAATGCCTGGTGCAATAACTGGTGTTTTAAAATTCAATATGGAGATATATTGCTGGTTTGTGAACCGTACTGAACTAGAAGTTAAATATTTTTACTATAATTTATCTGCGGAGACAAATATATACTTTCTT